GTAATTATTTAAAATCAGCCTCTGGTCAAACCGACTATCTAAGCTCGGTGGCTCTGCCTAGCTCAGCCACCATGTTTCTCAGCCGGAGGACACATGTGCGCTGCAGCTAGAATTGGCCCTGCCAGAAATACCAGCCCTGCCACCCATGAGACGTCCGAGTGGGAGATGGCTCTGCCAATCTTCCACGCTGTCTCCGCAAGGCTAGGCATTGCCCAGACCATCCCGCCATCCACGGGGGCTCAGTAGAAAAAAATGAGACTCTAATGCTTAAAGATTAATCAAAGGCTTTATATGTTTGGTAAAGCTCAATAACAATATGCCCATACAGAGAGTTGTTTCCCAATTAGCTAACCTAAATAAAAGTAGTTACCTGCACTGCTCTCCATACCTGCATGGCTTTCCATCCTCCTACATCTCTGATCTCTCCCTCCTACTAGCTCTTCCTCTTCCTTTTCCTCTTTCTCTCCTAACTCCTCCCACCTTAGCTCCTCCTACAAACTCTCATTAATAGTAAAACTATTTTAATAAAGCACATTAAAATTATATTTACATCATCTATGAATCTAAATTACACTTAAAAGAACATTTGATAGTGATTGCTTAGGATTTATATATGAATCATTTAATGAAATAGATGTTTTTTTCTGTTTTATTACTAAGACTGAAACTCAATCTTTGGGGAAGAACTCTTTTGACAACTATGATATCATCCCTCATTTTGGAAATACAAAACCTTCCAAGCAGCTATTAGTAATGCTATTTAATCAGTTAGTGACTGACAGAACTTAGCTAGTGTGAGAAGCTAACTCCCCCATTTTTACCTTTACCATTGAGTTTAATATGGGTTAAATAATAACAGGGCCTCCATTCTCCCAAGTCAGTTCAAGACTTGTTTCCAAAGTCTTAGTACTTGTATTCTTCAAGTAAAGTGAGATTTATGTTCCTTTTGTGAAGGGTGTTTTTTAAGCCAACAGACTACAAAGAGAACCAGATCAACTTGACTTGAAAAATGAGGCTTTCTGAAACTGGATGGCCACACTGGCATTTAAAACTTGTAACAATATGCTTATGCTAATACTAATAGCAAAAGTTCTGCTTCTGTTAAGCTTTGCTTGCTTGCAAAGGACATGAATAACCTATCTAAGAATTCCTCTACTGCAGAGTAGATGCCACTTCATCGTCCTACTAAGGGGGAGTATAAGCTAGGCACAGCCTTACAAACAAAAATTTTTGCCCTGCATTATCTCAGTTTTAGCTCCTGGTTTTTGACACTGTAACAGTGGGAAGTACTTTTCAATAGTAGTGGGTAAATCAATTGTAGGGTGACATTGGGACAGCAAGTTTTTCATATACACTGACGGCAAAAATCCCCACTTTTCCATTATGTCATAGTATGCCTTTCTTCTTTACAATGTAACTTAGTAAATTGTGATATTAACTTGTGTTCAGTATCCAGAAATCATTTCAATTTAATTTTAAAATAAAATTTAAAAAGTATTCGCTTGTTAACAGAATTGTAATTTTCTTAGCACCTTTCTTTTTTTAATTGGATGTTTTATTTACATTTCATATGTTGTCCCCTTACCCCATCCCCCACCCATCCAGGAACTCCCTATCCCCTCACCCCTCCTCCTTCTCTGCGGATGTAACCCCTACCTACCCCGCAACTCCCACCCCCTGGGGCGTCCAGCCTTCATGAGGTCAAGGATCTCTTCTCCCACCTATGCCCAGCAGGGCCCTCCACTCTTACATATTCAGCTGAAGCCATGGATCCCTCCCTAAGTGCTCCCAGGCTGGTGGTTTAGACCCTGGGAGCTGTGGTTGGTTGGTATTGTTGCTCTCCTCATGGTGCCACAAACCCTTTCAGCTCCAATGGCCTTCACTCTAACTCCTCCATTGGGAACCCCATGATCAGTTCAATGGCTAGTTGTAGCACCTACTTTCAACTCTTCAGTGTTTCTCTGTCTTCACTGATCATCAAGAAAATCTGAGGTATATGAAGCCTCAGAATGCCACAATGGCATCTTGGACTGGTGTAGTCAAAACCATTAGGACAAGAGCCACACATCAACATTTAAAATTCTACAGGTGATTCCCTTGTGTAAGCAAGAATTAGAACTGATGCTCTTAGTAATCACATCATTTTTTAACATTTTATTATTGGGAAAAAGGAGATAGTTTTGATACATCAAAAATGTGAAAAGAGGTACTGGGAACAGAAAGGAGTAGGAGGAAGGAATGACAAAGGAAAAAAAAGGCAGGCAGGCTGTCTTTTCTTCAAATTCTCCAGCTCCTAAGAATAAAAGCAGGACAGAGTCTAAGCAAAACTGCATAGATTCTGGGAAATCAGGTCCAGGACTAAAAGTTTCTCCAACAGTTCACAGTAATCTGATTAACTGTACAAAGAGCCTATTTTTTTTTCTTTTTTTCTTTTTTTTTAATATATTTTTTTTTATTTTCTTTTTTTTTTTTGAACATGAAATGCTTTTTTATAGCATGTTTTACAAGGGGAGGGGGTAAGAGGGTCCAGGTGGTGGAAAAGTACAGAATCTTCTTGGCCTGTGCCTTGAAACATGTCATGGTCTATATGGTACACTGCCTTGAATTATGATCTACCTGCAGTTCTTCAGAAGATATGGTACACTGCTTGAGTTATGGTCTCCCTGCTATTCTTAAGGAGACATGGTACTCTGCTTTGAGTCTATCTGCAGTTGCTAAGCAGGATCTTGCAGTTGCCAAGCTTCAGAGGACATTGTGCAGGTGGGGAAAGGTAGGGGGTGAGGGTAAGGGCGAGGGTCCTGGCTTCTGGCATCTCCCCCTTCTCTGTTTAGTTAGAGAAGGCGTCTTATGTTCAATCCCAACTATGTGAGTTTTGAATTTGGATGTCTAATTATGGGGGGTCTTAGACAAGTTCACAACCCCAAAACACTGATGTGAGACGAGGCACATCGATGGTCGAAGGCTTTAGGCTGTTGACGATGGGCAACGTCAAGGGACTCCGATGTGGGTGAAAGGAGGGTGAGAGCCCTGTCTTAGGCCATGTAGGCTGCACCCACTCCCAGCACCACGCACTCCTTTTCGGCTGCATTGGGTGGGCCCCTGGGAAGTGGACCTACAATAATCCCGTCATTGGGCTACAAAGAGCCTATTTTTAATAAAGGCTCTATTTCACAAAGTCAAGTTTCTCATGACAAAAAGAAAGAAAACTGCTAATTTAGGAAACAGGTTCATTTCCCTATAGGTATGGATGGATTAAAAAACTTCCCTCTCAGATGAAACACTGATTGTATGAAAATATTTCAAATTCATTTGTATATCACTGTTTCAGGAAGAGATTTGTGATATTTTCTAAAAATAAAAAGTATGGGTTTAAAATAAGAGCTTAACCCTTAGTTGTGTACATCTTTCTGACAAATATGAAAAAATAATGAGGACATTCTTAATAATTAACTACAGACTTCTACCTCCATAAACCACAGCACACACCTTAAAACTAGAGTAACTAGAAATACATAGCTCATTCTTTGCTGAATCCACTTGAATTATGTCTGGTCTGTCACAGTCTATGAGACATTAGCTTTCCAGATCCAGCAGCAAGGCCTCTGGCCAAAATGATAGGCCATATGGGGGAGTAAAAAAACATCAATCTGCTTACTAATGTCTAGAGTGGTGAGGGGTCATGGCAAACAAGGGGTCATTTGGGGAAGTCTTATTAGCATGTTATAAGAACGATCACACAGAAATGGGTGGGCTGCTTTTACACAGGTAGGTATCCCCTGAGTTTCTGATCAAAAATGGTATTACAGAGCCTTGTGTAGAGTTGAAATGTTGGAATCTATCTGTTGAGCCAACACAGGCATGCCAGAAAAGAAGCTGCCTCTGACTCTCCTCCTTGGCCTTCTTGTCTGATGGAGAATATCATAAGCATTACAACTCTGTAGGAGCATCCTCATCTTATCCTGTCCCTCACGGGAGGTACACTTGGTCAAAGGGTTGTCCAGAGTGGTAAGGATGAAGGGCAGAGCCATAGTGCCCTTGAGGGGTACCAGAAAACCAGGAGCTATAGTGATGGGAGTAATATTACTGCATTTCTGCCAGCAAAGGGAAGCAAAAATAACACATTTTCAAACACCAAGCTTCTCAGTATCTTATATATTGACAATGCTCAACCTCTCCATCAAGAAAATTCAGCTTCATCACCTATGGTTAAGGGGCTATCATTTTACTGGACTCTGGGTATTTGAAATAAAGCAGGCGCCCTGCCAAACAGGTGTTGCTAATTGTCTTATTTTGGGTTTCTATTTCTGTGAAGAGACACTATGACCACAGCAACCCTTATAAAGGGAAACATTTAATTGGGGCTGGTTTACAGTTCAGAGGTTTAGACCATTATCATTATGATGGGAAGCATGGCAGCATGCAGGCAGACACGATGTTAAAGAAGGAACTGAGAACTTTACATCCAGATCAGTAGGCAACAGGAAGAGAATGAACCACTAGGTCATGCTTGATGATCTGAAACCTCAATCCTACTCCCAGTGACACACTTCTTCCAATAAGGTACACCTACTTTCAACAAGACCATACCTTTATGGGTCTATGGGGGTCATTTTCACTGGAAACATCAACACTAATCAAAAACAAATGTATCCAATGGTGTAACTGTCTCACTCTGGTATCATTTAGGTTGTGCATGGAAAGACAGCTAGCTGCTGTTTTCAGAAAATTTAATCTCCCACTTTAACTCAAGCCTGCTTGACTATTCTGTTATCACAATGTTGGGGATTGAACCTAGGGCCTCACAAAAACTAGGAAAATGCTCTATCACTGAGCTAAATCCCCAGTAATCTCCCATTTAAGATGAAGCAATGATGCTGACTCAATGAGGCCTCAATAGAGGTTCCCCAAAATGCTTGAGGCTACTTCAGTAACTGGAACGTGAAGTGTGCACATTGTGACTCTACCCCCTCTACACAAACACAAGTGGAGCCTGACCAAACTTCAGAATAGACTTATAGATTTTATTTCAGACAAGAGTAGAATCTGAGTCTAGACCATTACCTATTACAACCTTTTGAAGGAACTCTAACCCAATAATCTTTGTTGTACCCCCTAATAGTCACAAAGAAAGCAGATGAATAAGAAGTCAGCTACCAACCCACTAGAGAGGTACTAGATGACCACTCCCCACCACATACCCAAAGGGGCATTGCAGTAGCTTTTGCTGTCACCATGCCAATGATATTGTTAAGACACAGGGAGAACAACATGGCTACAGCAAGAATCACTATAAATGGCACAACACCAAGAAGAATACAGAGTACTATAAAACAGATGACACACAGTTATAAATAATACAATGAGGATTTAAAAGTTTTTCTGTAATAAAAAGGTATGATTTTTTTAAAGTTTAAAACACAATTTTTAAGTTTTTTAAAACTCTTATTTAGCATTGAATACATATGATAAACAATAAAATGGCAGGTATTTTATAATAATTGATGAATACAATTACATGATTGCTATAGGCAAGCAATGGATACTTGGGGAAATCACTGTACCTTCTTATGTTTCTATAATAAACAGTGAAAAATCATCTTAAATTTTTTTTAGAAAAATATATACCAAGGTAGGTTATACTACCATGTAAGGAAAGATGATTAACATGTATTACAACAAATAGAATAACTTATATTGGCTCAAATAAAATCAAAATGTAGTGAGGAAATGCAAACAGGTAAATCCTAAGTAGTTTTACAAATCCACTGGTAGTTTCGATTTTCAAAAGTATATTATTGTTAAGGTATGTCAAAAAGTAATTATGTACAATGTATGACCTTAAAAATACAGGATTGCACAAAGGATTATCTACATAGCTAAGAACTCATTTGGGGTAAATCTAACTTTTAATGGGGAGCTTTCTTTATACAAATAAATATATTCAAAAATATTTGAAATCTATTAAGTAGTAAGCCCTGTGAGTACAATGAATGTGACAGAAGACTTGGCTTCTGGAAGATGATTTTCTAGTTGGAGTTGAGATCATGATAATAGCTATTATGGAAAAATGCAAAGTATACATCAATTTTATTTTAAACAATAATTCTGATGGAGATTGCATTTGATGAAAATAATTTATTACACATGTGCTATTCTCACTTCTGAATGCCTGGAACATCTCTTTATTCTTGCTTAAGGAACTGGAGAGATACTCAGCAGTTAAGAGTACTGGTTGCTCTTCCAGAGGTCCTGAATTCAATTCCCAGCAACCATATAGTGGCTTATAACCATCTGTAATGTGATCTGATGCCCTCTTCTGGCACGGAGGTGTACATGCACTTAGAGCACTCATGTAAAAGAAATTTAAAATTCTTGCTTAAATGTTGTACTTCATGAAGTTCTTACAGCTGGTGTCCATAAAGACCCACCTACTATATATAATACTTATATTACTTCATACATCTTTAGCATAAGTTCATTTAATATTCACTATTTTTAGTTATGGTACTTACATTGCCATTTTGGCAAGATAATTATAGCAAGTATAAATACCTCTCTTTCTATAGTCTAAAACCAATTTAAAAAGAAAACATACACCAAGATACAAAAATCTTTCATGCTTAAAGGCAAATGTATTTGGTTCCTTTCCATATAACATGTACTAAGGTAACTACATGCTGCTTTTCCAAATTGAGTTTGAAAAAGGATCTTACATAGGGGAAAAGGAACATTCTTGCTAAGCTACACACCAACCAAGTAAGGAGGGTACTGGAAGAGTTAACATCTATTGTCTCTTCCAATGTGTCAAGATTGAGAAGGCCTGTATTAACCTTGTACCAGAAGAAACCTATTAATGCCATTCAGGTTTGCTACAACAGGGAGGAAGGCACAGGAGAAGAGGAGGAAGAAGAGTGTCAATTGTCCTATATTGGAGTGTAGAAGCTGCTGTCAAGAAACAAACAACAACAATAAAAACAGAACAATGAAGTGAAGTTCTTAGGATGCCATGCCGAGCAGAAAGCCCCCAAAAAATCCTCCAGTCACTAGAACATTCTTCTTTACAAATGATACAACCTGAAAAACAGAAGATTTGGTACTGAGTTATTTTATTGCAAAACTTCCTATTCATCTTAGGTTTAGTGCATACATGGTTAGGCATCCTGTATGGCTCTCATCAATTTATTATCTCTCCTGACTACCTTCCTTATAATGTAAATGTGAAATAATACATCCAACATTCTGACCTAATCACTTCTTTTTGTTTTTGCATTATGTGTTGTGTGTGTACATGTATTTGTTGTACAGACACGACGCATGTATGAACATGTGCACATACATATGAAAGGTCAAGATTGATAGGTGTCTTCCTAGTTTACTTACATTATATACTAAGGCAGGATCTCTTGCTGGACCTAGAGATTATGATTTGGGCTAGCCAGCTTGCTCTGGTGATTGTTGCCATAGCCCTGGGACTGAAAGCAGGCCACCTCATCCACCTGGCATTTACATGAGTGCTAGAAATCCAAAACTGTGGTCTTCAGACTTGCATGACAATCACTTTACCCATTGAGTCATATCCCCAAGCCAAATCATTTCTTGAAGTTAAGCACTTTCCAACTGTGTAAGCCATTTGCACTATTACATTCCTATCACTCTGAGTTCATCCTCCTTGCACCATTATGCAAAGTCCACAGTGTCTCTTCACTACCTCTGTATCTAGACATCCTAGTTAGCTATAACTGTCAACTTGACACAACCAATCATTATCTGATAAGAGAATCTCAATTGAAAAATTGCCAACCGCATGAAGGCTGGACGCCCCAGGGGGTGGGAATTTTGAGGGTGGGGAGGTGGGAGTGGGGGAGTAGATAGAGGTTACATCCACAGAGAAGCAGGAGGAGGGGTGAGGGGATTGGGGGTTCCTGGGTGGATGGGGGATGGGGTAAGGGGACAACATAGGAAATATAAATAAAACATCCAATTAAAAAAAAGAAAAGAAAAATTGCCTATTTCAGTGTTTTTCAACTTGTGGGTCTTGGGTTGCCTAAGACCCTTGGAAAACACAGATAATTTGCATTACAATTCAGAATAGCAAAGTTAGTTATGAAGTAGCAATGAAAATAATTTTATGGTTGGGGGGTCACCACAACATGAGGAATTATATTATAGAGTTGCAGCATTAGGAAGGATGAGAACCACTGACCTAGATCATATTGACCTGGGCATGTTGTAGAGGACTGTCTTGATTGTTAGTTAAAATATAGGATGGCCTACCATACTGTGGGCAGCACCATTCCCTAGACAGGTAGTCATGAACTGTACAAGAAAGCTAAGTGAGCTTAAGTCTGTCTACCAACCAGCATTCTCTGTGGTTCTTGCCACATGGCCTTTGGCTATGAATTAATTCTTTGGTCAGAGGTAATGCTGTGTGGGACAGAAAGCAGACAGCAAAGATTCATTTGTTTCTCTCTGCTCTCAATTTGGGATTAATGTGATTAGCTGCCCAAGTTCCTTCCTTGACTTCCCCTCAATGATGGCCTGAAACCTAGAATTATAAGGTGAATCGACCCTTTCCTCCCTTAAGTTGCTTTTGGTCAGAATACTTTATTCCAGAAACAAAAATGAATTCTGCCTGAAATTACTTCTTTTTTTTCTAGCCTAGGATTTAGATTCCTGCCTGAAATTACTTCTTTGTTCTAGCCTAATGTCAGATTCTTGCCTGCAGCCCACTTCCTTGCCCTTGGCCAATGTCAAATTTCTTCCAAGCAGCCCCAAAAGCTCTCCACATCTCCCTCTTTGTTTATTTCATAAATAAGACTGAGCCTAGAATCTAAATGTTAGGCTAGAACAAAGAAGTAATTACAGGCAGGAATATAAATCTTAGGCTAGAACAAAAAAGTAGGCTTCAGTAGGCTTCAGGCATGAAAATGACTTTGGGCTAGGACAGGGAAGTATGCTCAGTCAGATATTTTGGTCATCCTGATAAGCCCTTAGAAATAGTGATCATGGGAGTGATCATGGGACTTTGTTTATTGCCTTGCTTGTTCTTTGACTATTTGTGTTTATTGTCTTGCTTGTTCCTTGACTATTTGCATCTATTGTATTGCTAGTTCCTCAACCTAGAACTGATCTTAATACTGGCATGTAATTAAAATGGTATAAAAGCACAAAAGAGGAGGTGGATGGGATAGGAGGCTTATGGGGGGGGGAATGGGGAAAGGGGAATACATCTGAAATGTAAATAAATAAAATATACAATAAAATTAAAAAAAATAAGTATAAAAAAATGAATCTAGGACATTATGTCTCCTTGTCTCACTTCCACTGCAGGCCTTAACTCTCTAAGACTTTCACATTCCTCAGAATATTACTAGAGGAAAATTTATAAAAAAATTTACTTACATTTTCATATGTATATCTGGGGAATATGTATATATGAGTGTACATTCATGTGTGTGGAGGACACATATCATCTATGGCTACTTTCACTCTATATGAGGAGGTCCAGTTGTTGTGACAGAGACCATACTCAAAAACTGAAAATATTTACCATCTGGCTATCTTCAGGAAAAAGCCTACCAAACCATTATCTAAGCATTTCTATTAGTCATGTACAGAATAGACAGAGTTTGGCTATTTCAAAGATGAGCAGGCACAGAGATAAAATGTAATTCAAAATGTTCACATTGGCAGCACACCCCACCCACTGTGGTACCCCCACTCTTATAAGAGCTAGTTAACTACAACTACTATCTTCATCTCCTTTGTATTCTCATTCACTGACAAAGGTCATCAAATATTTCAATTACTAAGCTTTGTAAGATGCTGGAGAGAAATCTCAGTGGTTAAGAGCACTGGCTGTTCTTCCAGAAGACCCAGGTTCAATTCCCAGAAACCACGTGACAGCTCACAGCCATTGGTAACTGTTGTTCCATGGGATCTGATGCCCTCTTCTTGCCCCTACAAGCACCACAGGTACACGCTTGTATCTATACACACACACACACACACACACACACACACACACACACACACACATATATATACACACATAGGCAAAAACCAATACACATAAAAAATAAAGTAAAATACATTTTTAAAGTGCCTTCATGAAAATGCACTAGGTAGCACATGCATGTTGTCCTAGTACTCAAGAGGTTGAAGCAGGAATTTAAGGCCAGCCTGGGTTATATAATGAGACCTTGTCTCCTCCAAATTGTTCCTACAGTAATGATATTCTTAGAGTGATATACAGAATATAGTTTTTGTCTCACTGCTCCAAGTTCTTGGTTATCTAAAACTTTTTATACTGCTGAGATAATTATATATCCTGTTTTGTACACAAAACTGTCTGAACTTTTCAAATACTAAATCTGAACAAGCAAGTCTTACCTCCTCAGCTTTGCTCTTGACCTCAGTTGGTATTTGCTTATTCTTACGAATCTGCAACTGCTCTTTGGCTTTTTTCATGTCTTTTTCTACTCTTTGCCAGTCAACTCTGATATATCCAGTATGGTTTGCCAGCTACAAATATAACAGAAATAAAAAAAGTAATGAGGAACATAGTCTTTGGTATTTCTTTTTGTCAAGATAAATCTTGAAATAGGTAATCAAAACTCTTCTGACTTACTATTTTTGGAGAAATTTGCTATTTTTTAATGACCTTTGGGCAAAATGTACGTATTATATTCAATTTTTCATGTTTGGTAATAGAAATAAACAACTGTCTTCAACTGTTGGCAATCATTTAATGTATATACTGAGTTTTACAAAGTTTTAAGTAAAATTTAAAAATAAGATGCTAAAATGAAAGCTAAAGTAGTAAGTTCAATGTAAACAATTTTCAAGGAAATGTGAACAGAATAAAATTGATTCAAGTATGTTGTTTCTGATAAATTAGGGTTATCCATAACACCATCAACCAATGAGTTACCCAAATAAACTGGAGAAAGTATGTATATATAAAGTAAACCATTAGCACTTATAAACAATGAAGTTGTTATAGAAGTCAATAAGAAAAAACTTGAGCTAGAGAGATAGCTAAGTGGTTAAGAGTACTGGCTATTCTTCCAGAAGATCCAAGTTTGATTCTCAGCAACCATGTGGTGGGTCTTAATAGTATAAATGTGAAATAAAATGTGACTAGGAATTAAGATTTCACGAAAATGGTTAGCATTCAAGATAGCACACAAAACCAAATGCATAAACTATTTTAATGTAATATATCCAGGGCTATAATTTCTCACAATACGTTAATGGGCAAGTAGAATTTCCAAACACCTAGGAAAACTTAACATACAAACCTGAAGGAGAAAGAATCCACCTCCTACAGCTGTTGCAGCCAATTTTCCAACCTTCTGGAATACGAAACCAGTGCACCTATGAAACCAAATCAAGATCAGATGTGACAGGCTGTCAGATGCACACAAGCACGAACAAAGCTCATATCCTACTTACTTTGAAATAATTTAGCTCCTTCCTACCATGTACAGAAACAGAAGCCCATGCTAGCCTCTAGGCTCCTAGAGTTCCTATTCATGTGTACCCATTATAGATTTTAAAGTCCACACTAGCATCCTAGACCATTTCACCTCCACCTCTACCCCAAAACCCCAAGGCTGTTTCAGTTAACAGGTTTCCTGTCTCCCAGGTTCCACCCCCTGACTCCCACCCCAAATTCTCACTAATCCCACTGTTCAATGTTTTCTTCCTACCATTCCCACTATTCTCTCTCTTGCTATTCCTTGCTATTCTCCCTTGTTTTGCAGATATGGCTATGTCCAGTCTGATTCTTTTTCTCTTGGCTCTGGACATTTTCAGATGTCCTTGGATGTTCTATCTTTCTCTTATCCACAATAAAAATTTCTTCCCACCTCCAACCATGGAGCAGCCATTTCAGGGGTTTTATTTATTGGGCTCCTTCCACATACTAAGAATACATGCATGTACCACCCCACATGAAGCTTATCAACAAGAAATATATATGCAAGCTGGCCATAGTAATGCATGTCTTTAATCTCAGCACTCAGGAGGCAGGGGTAGGTGGAACTCTGTGAGTCTGAGGCCAGCCTGGTCTACATAGAGAGTTCCAGATAGCTAGGGCTATGTAGAGAACCTGCTTCAAAATATTATATATAAAGAGTCTAAATACTCTCTTCAAAAGGAAGATATTTCAAACTGAAATTTTAAAAGGAGGCTGAGGAGATAGTGTAGTGAATAAAGTACTTACTGTACAAGCATGAGGACTAAGTCCAAATCCATATAAACTGGGTGCTTTAAAAAAGTAAAGTCTATCTATATGCTATGCACAAGAAACCTACTTTAAATAAAAGACTCTATAAAAGGTAAGTAGAAAATCCATTTATGTGTTTCTGCTGGCTGCTGCCCTGTGTGCTTCTTTTCTTGCCTGATTTTGTTGTAAAGTTGTAACCCTGAGTAAAACAGCTTTGAGTTCTATGAATCATCCTAGAGCAATGGTTCTCAATCTTCCTAATGCTGCAACCCTTTACTACAGTTCCTCATGCTGTACTGACCTCCAATTATAAAATTATTTTCATTGCTACTTCTTAACTGTAATTTTGCTACTATTATGAATCATAGTATAAATATCTGTGTTTTCTGATGGTCTTAGGCAACTCCTGTAAAAGGACTGTTAACGTGTAAAGGGGTCATGACCCACAGGTTGAGAAACACTGTCCTATAGGATTATCAAACACAAGAATGTCTTGAGTATTCCCAAACTCTGGAACTCAATAAATGACTTTAGAAAATTGTATTTCTACATGCAAGTAATAACAGGAAAATGAATTTTTTGATTAATAGTACTAACAATAGTATCAAAATATGAAATATTTAGGAATCTATATTGATCATATATTGTGATATATTGGCGTTATATCAATAGATTATATATAAACTATAAAGGTGAAACAAATACAAGAAAATCAAGTGATAGTGATCAGAACAATATGATATTGGCACCAAGAGAAATCAGTTATATCAATAGATTATATATAAACTATAAAGGTAAAACAAATACAAGAAAATAAAGTGATAGTGATCAGAACAATATGATATTGGCACCAAGAGAAATCAATTTTAAATGAATTGTTTTTATTTTTTAAGCGTTTTTTGTGGTGTGTGTATGTGTGTATGTGTTCAGTGCATATGTGTGCACATGTGTATGCTTTCCATGGCATACATGTAGAAGTCAGAGGCAACTTGTATGAGTCAGCTCTCTCCTTCTACCATGTGGGTCCATGAGATTGAACTCAGGTCCCCAGGCTTGATGGCAATTATCTTTACCCACTAAGATATCTTGCTGGCCAACAGACAGATTAATTTAATGAAGAGATGGTAAATAGATTTTTTTAAAAAAGATTTACTTATTTTATATATATTTGAGTACACTGTAGCTGTCTTCAGACACACCAGAAGAGAGCTTCAGATCCCATTACAGATGGTTGTGAGCCACCACGTGTTTGCTGGGAAATAAAGTCAGGACCTGTGGAAGAGCAGTAAGTGCTCTTAACTGCTGAGTCATCTCTCCGGCCCCTGGTAAACTGATTCTTGATACAGGTATAAAGACATGGTATTAAAGCATACCCTGTTCCATTCCCTTTTTGTATATGCTTGTGTATTGTTTCTATTTTCAGGTATTACAAATAAAACTAGGAACATTTGTGTGAAACTTTTTGTATAAGCATCTATTTTCATTTATATTGTTTAAGTGCCAACAAATAGTATGACTGAGCCATACTACAAGTATGGTATACAACAGCACTTGGGACACAGAGGTAGGAGGATCACAAGTTATGGACTATGCTTGAACGGCCCTTGAAGATTCAGGCCTACCAAACATGGTACTGGCATGGCAGCATCTTGCCCTTTTCCCCCTCCCTCTCCCATAAATTGCATCCCTAAAGCTAGTCATCCTGAGGAATGAATCTGGCATAAGAAACTGTCCAAATAAGGGAACAGACCTTGATGGCTAGCTTTAGGGATGTAATCTATGGTTTACATGGGAGAGGGAAGAGGGAAGGGCAAGGCCTGACAGTAACATGTTTGCCAGGCCTGGTTCTGCTAAGTTTCTTCATTACTGAGCCAAAGACTCTATTGTAAAACAAAACAAAACAAAACAAAACAAAACAAAACAAAACAAAACAAAAAACAAAACCAACACACACACACACACACACACAACTCTTAAATACTACAAAAAATGACAACTTCACAAGGCGAAAACATGGAATTTAATAAAAGATAATTCTAAGTAGTAAATAAATACATATAAAAGTCTTCAGTTTTACCCCTACTTGGGATAAATGCAAACAAAATCACAATGAGAAAAACACTACTTGTAAAGGCTAGCAAGAAGTTACCAGTATGGCAACAACAAATATGGTCAAGGATGTAGTTTAACAGAAGAAACACTTGGTCCTTGGTGGCAGTGTAACCACTTTTAGGCAGCAGCCTGACATTATCTCATGAAGCTGAAGATATATACACCCATTAACTTAGTGACTACTAAGTACAGACATCAAGGAAATATGTACCCATGCACAATAGGAAATTTGTATAAGAATTTCGTATCAGCATTGTCTACATTATTAAAAAATTGAAAAAGGTCAATATCAGACATTAACTGGGAAAATATCCTATGGTATATTCATACAATGGAACTAAAATAAAAATGACAATGAAGAAACTACAGCTTCATATGAAATGGTTGAATATGAAAAACATTTTTAAAAGCAAGAATCAAGCCAGGCAGTGTATCTCTTTAATCCCAGCACTCAGGAAACAGAGGTAGGTGGATCTCTGAGTTTGAGGCCAACCTAGTCTATAGTATGAATTCCAGGACACCCAAAACTACAGATAAATCCTGTCTTAAAAAAAAAAACAACAACATAGAAGCAATAATCAAAAGAATTCATAGTGATTGTGTTTATTCAAAGTTCAAAACCAGATTAACTACAATAAATTATGAAGAAAAGCAAAGAAGCAATTTCCCAACAACTTTTATGTTCTGGGGGATACTAGCCATATTTTTTAGCCTCAGTGGTTATATATGGGAATATATTCTACAACTATTCCTTATAGATAGATGTTCTGTGTATTTGCATTACAATAACATTTTTCAAAAGGAGTTTCTGAGATTGATGGATTCATTATTCATTCACTGAATTGGCTCCAAACATTTTATACACATCAACAAATGAAAACTGCTACATTAACATCTGGCACAGCTAACATAAATGGTTAATATCTTAATCTACCACTTGCTATGTTGCCTTGATCTAGAATCTAGATAAACTTTCTGAGCCTCAATTTCTACAAAAAGGACATAGATATTAAAAGTATCAAGTCTTTTAAAGAAGGAAATTAGATACTTATATATAAACTTTAAATAATACCTGCCTATATGCAAGGATTTTTGCATCAGACATTCCATGGTACAATTAAGGGGATGGTTTTTATTGTAGATATGAGAGAGAGGACAGACAGAGGCATCTGGAAGAGTCCAGAGCAGAAAGAAGAGCAAATTACACAGTCAGCAGTCTGGACATGGACATCTTAAGAGAGGAGAGAATAGCAGGGGATAGAGAATAGAAAGAACATAGTGAGAACAGCAAGAACAGAGAATAGCCAGGTTATATGAAGTGTGAGTAGCTGGGGGAGGAAAAGTCCAGTGTTAGGGCTTTGAAATGTATAAGGACTTGAGGGAGCCTGAAAGCTAGCATGGACCTTAATATGGTGATATATGTTAATTGGAGAGCCATATGTCTCTTTTGCCAGAGATAAAGGAATGACTCCTTTGACAGAAGAGAATCAGTGTCTCAAGTTCTTTTATCTAACCACCAGAAATCCTCCTACAATCCAGTCTGAGCTCATTTCTGGATATTTAGAGTGTCTTTTGAAGCTTGGGGAGTTGGATGGTTCACTGTATATTGAACAATTTCAGTGAAGTCAGTGTGTTTTCATTAATTAGAGTAGACAGTTTCTATAACTATGCTACTAAATCAGGCATAAAAAACTGCAAATCTTTAACATCACTTACCATCCAGTAACACCCCCAATTACCAGCTGGGTTGCTACACTATATTTTTCAGCTGATGGCCCAGATTCCTGCCCAAACAGCTTACGCCACCATGGTTGTTTTTTAGTTAATTCTGCAAGATCCAGTGCTTCAAATTTTCCATCAAAGTTTCCTATAAAAGAATGAAGATATGTAGTTACTGGTTGCTGAGAAAGGAGTAGACATATTCTTCAGTGGTATAGCCAATGATAAGGTGCCTATGCACTAGTAAAAATCTCTCACACATGTTCCTATAAATAAGCCTAATGAAACTCAATGGGTCATCAAAAAAAAGTATAGTGAAGACAAGATAATAATCGAAGACGATTAGAAGAAATAGGGAAGGACAAAAGTAAATATGATTAAAACACATTATATAAGTGTATAAAATCATAATAAAATCCATCATTGTGTATGATTAGTATATGGAAATAAAAAACTAAAAAAAGAACTAAGAAAATAAGAAAATATTTACTTTTATAATAGCTTACCACCATTCCTAACTAGATTAAGAGATTTTAAAAGCAAATAGGTAACTATTTTAAATAGTAAATTATCTTTGAAATTCTGGGTTGGAATTTTAGAAATTCTGACTAAAATAAACAAATTTGAATATATGTATTGTAGCACCCTTGAAAGCTTAGGCTTAGTCTATTGTTTTTCCTCTCAAATTTAAAAACAATTAAACTGACCTAGGAAAAAAACAGTACTATTGAATAAAAGCATTCTAAATATGTATTTTTAAATTCACTTCTTTAGGAGCCACCTGCAAAGCAATTTTCTGTATTACATAGATCTCCAGTGAATAAGTAAACAATGTTTGGGTGATTTTTACTAGACAATGTGCTTAGTAACAAACTATTTAATTAAATGCACAGGAAAAGATAGGTACTACTTATTAATCCCATTTTGTAATTAGGAAACAAAGCTTTGAAATGTAGTGCTAGACGAGGCAGGGGAAACAAGCTAACAAATTTGTAATCCCTGGCTTGTACAAAGATCATCTTGGGCTTACCTACTATGTTCAAACCTTCTTCCTTGGAAACATACTGCATTAAGATAACTAGTGTCAAAAACTCAGCATTCAAGACTGTTTACAAACAAAAGAAAAAACCAAGAATTGTCATTTTTAAAAAAGAATAAAAAATAGAGGCAGAATCAGAAATGATCAAGAAATTAAATGAAGGACTGGAGAGATAGCTTAGCAATTAAGAGCACTGGGTGCTCTTCCAGAGGTCCTGAGTTCAATTCCCACCAACCACATGGTGGCTCATAACCATCTGTAATGGGATCCAATGCCCTCTTCTGGTGTGTCTGAAGACAGCTAGAATGTACCTATATAAATAAAATAAATAAATATTTTAAAAAATAAATAAAGCAAAATTGTTCAGAAGGCTTCACACACATATAATTGGAGTCCAAGAAGATTATCAGAATAGAAGTAACATTCAAGAGGCTTACTGATGTAACTCAAGCAAGAAATGATAAGTGTAACTCTAGAAAGGAACAAGGGAATGAAGGGTACTTGAATGAATACCCAGGCTGCTATCTAAATGAATGCTATTGTATAAAACAATACCTAAAGTGTCTTATAAAACTTAAAATATATATAAAATTAAGCAGGTGATTTCTAAATTATTAGCAGGCAAAAGAAAAAATGATAAACTATAGAATACTCCCCTTTTAAATTTAAGGAGATTAAAAAAGCTAAGCCTGTGAGCTGCACTTCTACCTTAATTTCAATATTAAAATGTTCATTCTCTTTATAATATAATCCTTAGCAAAAAAAAAATTTTTTTTGCAGGTGAAGGCAGTGGTTCTCAACCTGTGGATCCAGACTCCTTTGGGGTTAAACATCAGATATTTACATTACGAGTCATAACAGTAGCAAAATCACAATTATGAAGTAGCAACAAAACAATTTTATTCCTGGGGTCTCTACAACATGAAAAACTGCATTAAAGGCGCATAGTATCAGGAAAGTTGAAAACCACTGGGTTAAGAGATTTTAAAATGTATATAGACAGACAAAGGACCAAGAATAGTATTGGAGTTACAATAGCTGAACAACAAATTGCCCCTAGACATGAAACAAAGTTATTTTGTCTATGGTTTCTGGTTCTGTGCATGTGAAATTCAATCATGCCATTAAGGCTTCTCTGTTATTATGTGATATCTGAGGCTTCAGCTAGAAAACTTACAGGGCAGGGTCTGGAATAATCTAAAAAGTCTACACTGACATATACGAATACTTTTCTCAGAGGCTAGAGTGGGCTTTCTTAATACCATTGAAGTTAGGTTTAAGAGGTGATTGTCTCAAGTGGAGGAAAGGTCAAGGACCTGGAAAAAAATGTCATCATTTTAAGTTCTGGCTTCAGAAGCTATTCAGTTTTACTCCCACCAAACTGGCCTAGAGTAGGTCCCATCCAGATTAAAGAAGAGAGAATATATACTCCAATTCTTACAGGGATGGGAATATCAAAGTCCCACTGAAAACAAACCATCTGAGAAAATTCAATCTTCTATATGATAAATGGCCAAAAAAAATCTTAGGGAGAAAGTTTAAGGGTATTCAAAACTTTCAAAATACAGTATAATATAGAGCCACCTAAGTTAAAGGCTTGAGGTGGGGCAGTGAGACAGAGTTTCTCTGTGTAGCCATTAATTCTGCAGACCAGGCTGCTCTCAAGCTCACAGAGATCCACCCACCTCTGCCTCCCCAGTGCCAGAATTAAATAAAGGTGAGCACCACCACTGCCTGGCTAAGTTAAAGATTCATAAAACTACAGTATTCAATAATGACCCAAGTATACACAAAATTAGTTGAATATAAGGTCTAGAAATTTATTTATACATACTATCATTTTCCTAACAAGATAACCAGGTATCCACAGTACAAAGTAAGTCTTTTCAATAGTGTTAGAAGCACTAAACACTCCTTTAAAAAAAAAAAAAACATACACAATACATTCAACATATGGCTCCAGTCGAAAGTGGGATTAAGTTGGGTATAGTGCCACACTGAAGCATGAGGATTGCTGAGTTTGAGGCCAGACTGGACTAAGCAAAGTTATCTGTTGATGGTGGGTTAGGTGGGATGGATAACAAACAGAGTCCACCCATTAAACACTGCTAAACAAAATTCACAAGCCTTGTCTATAGGCCCAGGAAAAGAATAATTACTGTAAGCACTACAATTATGTAAGACTCAAGATTTCTCAGAAATTTCTAGGTGTTCTTTTTAGCAATTGCATCGAGTGTGATGATTATGAGCTTAATGAATTGACTGACTTAACGTAACTAAAAAGAAAAAGAAAGAAAAGAAAACGAAAAGAAAAAAGGAAAAGGTGCTCCACTGAGATTTTATTTTGACTAAAAGTTCCCTCCTATATCTCCTACTGTTTTCAAAACCATCGATAATACAATTAGGAAAGTACCAATGAAAATGACGACTGTAGGTGTTTGAGAGGCAGTAAGAGACAAATACACTCATGACAGGGAGTCAGATCGCTTTTGAGAATAGTAACTGGATCTCCCTAGGGTTACCTCGGTAGGGATGGCGCTGAAATGCTAGAGGAGCTAAGCAGAGATAACATCCCAGGGCAGCTCAACCGCCAGCGTAAACATGACCTTGTCCAAGTCCCAAAACACCCGCCAGAAAAGTCTTGCGCTGCCATATCCAGGCGCTATTGAAGCTCCCTGGGGCAGGAGGAACTCAGAAGGCAACCGACCGTCCCTCTAGGCCACAAAAGTGATTCCACCCGGCCCTTACGCGCGTACTCCAGCCTTTACCTTGACTGTTCGCGGCCATTTCGGGGGAAGTAGTATCGCGAGGACACAGCTTCAGATCACGAGACCAGGAACAGGCGTTAGTCATTCGCAGCTAGCTTCCGGCAGGTGGGGCAGATATTTCCAGTTCCTTAGCAGCAGGAGGCAGCGGGCCTGATTCCAAGAGCCATCTTTCCTGTCCTGGAGCAGCTGCTTCAACAACCTCAGTTGCAGCCCCACACTCACGCAGAGGAATGTTTGCTACGTGTGCCGAATGCCTCTCTGCCTTGGTGGTGACAGAGTTTATTTCACCTTTATTTATTTATGTATTTATTTATTTATTTATTTTAGATTTTGCTTACTTATGTAAACAATGAACTTATGTTAATTCTGGCGTTCATTTCAGTTCAGGCGTTTAAGTTGAGGAAAACACTTCTTACTCGTTTTTAAAGCATTCCAACCAGTTAATAATGTACATTTGTATGACTGCTTCTTGTCCCTTTTTTAAAACTTTGTGTATATGGATGTTTGCATGTATGCAGTACCAGAGGCCAAAACAGGCCTTCGGATCCCTTGGGACTAGAGAAGGGAGTGATACAAATATCTCAATTAGAGTTGAGCACTTTATTGCCTCTTATTCTCCGTACATATAGTAGTTGTGAGTCTATTGGAAAAAGAAGATTCTCAGATGAGGGTTGAAAGATCCCCTATTTTATTGGTATAGTAGTAAGAAATTGGGAGATGGCGGTTTATTTTTGTGTCCATTTAGGATAGCAGTAATATTAGGTTCTTCCCTATGACTTAGGCAGCCATGGGTTTTTGGCTCAGTAACAGGTATCAGTCCTATCCTGTGGAGTGGGCCTTAAATGCAAACATAAAGTGATTAGTTATTCCCATATTTATGCCACTACCATACCAGTGAGGCTATTTTGCTATGCCAGCCATTATAGTAGCTCACAGGGTTCTTAGACACTTTGTAAGACCATCAATAACTTGTCTCCCCAAAATAGCACACATGTAACCTTCCAGCACTGTGAAATCTTGTCAGTGTCAGCGTGATTTTTCTGTGTATTATTATTCAAGTATGTTGTATCATCAGCAATAGGGTCTTCAAGTTCTGTAGAATTGCCAAAAAATTGGCAATAGCCTGTAGTTTTGGGGGGTTTAAGGAGCCAACAAACTCCAAAACAGGTGACTCATTCCTGGCACTGGGCTTTATATTTGCTAGCTTGCAGTGTTTAGTATAGTAGAGAAACTGTCATCCTGTTGAAGGGGTAACTCCATTTAAATTCTTATGTATGTATACATGTATTTTTTAGAAAGCTACAGTAGTAGGTTTTTATATGTTTTTTTTCAAATACCTTTAGTGTTAGTAATCACTTCCCATACTCACTTCTCTCCCAAGCCCTCCCATCCTTACCCCACTTAACCCTTCAGCTTCTCCTGGACTCTTTTCATATTGACTGCAGTTTATCCTTCTTCGCTTGAAATCTGCCTTCCCTTGCTGGCCCCTTCCTAGTCTTCTGATCTCTGTGGGTACTCCAATTTAAAACACATATCTAAAGATTCAGAGTTAGCATTCACATACGAGAGAGAACCTGAGGTATTTGTTTTTCTGGGTCTAGGTTACCTCACTGAGAATGAATATTATTATTTCCAGCTCTATCCATTTATCTGCAAATTTAATTTTATTTTTCTTTACAGCTGAATAATATTCCATTCTGTGAATGTACCACATTTTCTTTTTTTTTTGTTTTTGTTGTTTTTGCATTTTTATTGGATATTTTATTTACATTTCAGATGTGGTCCCCTTTCCCCATTTTCCCCCAACCCAGGAACCTCCTGTCCCATCCCCCCTCCTCCTGCTTCTAAGAGGATGTGCCCCCATCCACCCTCCCACACCCACCTTCCCACCCTGGAATTCCACCACACTGGGGCATCCAGCCTTCACTGGACCAAGGACTTCCTCACCCATCTGTGCCTGACAATGCCACCTCCCCTACATATACAACTGGAGCCATGGGTCCCTCCCTGTGTGCTCCCAGGCTGGTGGTTTAGACCCTGGGAGCTCTGGTTGGTGGGTATTGTTGCTCTCCCCATGGGGCCACAAACCCTTTCTTCAGCTCCTTCAGTCTTCTCTCTAACTCCTCCATTGGGAACCCCTTGATCAGTTCAGTGGTTAGCTGTGAGCATCCACCTCTGAATATGTCAGACTCTAGCAGACCTCTAAGGAGACAGATATATCAGGATCCTGTTAGCATGCACTTCCTGGCATCCACATCAGCATCTAACTTTGATGACTGTGCATGGGATAGATACCTAGGTAGAACAGTCAATGGACAGCCCCTCCTTCAGTTTCTGTCCCATACTTTGTCTCCATATTTGCTCCTATGAGTATTTTGTTACCCCTTCTAATAAGGGCCAAAGCACACACACTTTGGTCTTCCTTCTTCATGACCTTCATGTGGTCTGTGAGTTGTAACTTGGGTATTGCAAGCTTCTGGGCTAATATCCAATTATCAGTGAGTGAATATCATGTGTGTTCTTTTGTGGTTGAGTTACCTCACTCAGGATGATATTTTCTAGTTCTATCCGTTTGCCTAAGAATTTCTCGAATTCATTGTTTTTAATAGCTGAGTAATACTCCATTGTGTAAATGTACCACATTTTCTGTGTCCATTCCTCTGTTGAAGGATATCTGGGTTCCTTCCAGCTTCTGGCTATTATAAAAAAGGTTGCTATGAACATAGTGGAGCATATGTCCTTGTTATATGTTGGAGCATTTGGGTAAATGCCCAGGAGTGGTATAGCTGGGTCCTCAGGTAATGCTTTGTCCAATTTTCTGAGGAACTGCCAGACTGATTCCCAGAGTGGTTGTATCAGCTTGCAATCCCACCAACAATGGAGGAGTGTTCCTCTTTCTTCACATCCTCACCAGCATCTGCTGTCACCTGAGTTTTTGATCTTAGCCATTCTGACTGTGTGAGGTGAAATCTCAGAATTGTTTTGATTTGCATTTCCCTGATGACTAAGGATGCTGAACATTTCTTTAGGTGTTTCTTGGCCATTCTAGTTTCCTCAGTTGAGAATTCTCTATTTGACTCTGTTCCCCATTTTTTAATAGGGTTATTTGGTTGTCTGGAGTCTAACTTCTTGAGTTCTTTGTATATATTGGATATTGGCCTTCTATCAGATGGTAGGATTGGTAAAGATCTTTTCCCAATCTATTGGTTGCCATTTTGTCCTATTGACAGTGTCCTTTGCCTTAGAGAAGCTTTGCAATTTTATGAAGTCCCATTTGTCAATTCTTGATCTTAGAACATAAGCCATTGATTGATGTTCTCTTCAGGAATTTCTCCCCTGTGCCCAAGTATTCAAGGTTCTTTCCCACCTTCTCTTCTATTAGTTTCAGTGTATCTGGTTTTATGTGGAGGTCCTTGATTCACTTAGACTTGAGCTTTGTACAAGGAGATAAGTATGGATCAATTTGCATTCTTCTACACGATGACCTCGAGTTGAAAGAGCACCATTTGTTGAAAGTGCTGTCCTTTTCCCACTGGACAGTTTTAGCTCCTTTGTCAAAGATCAAGTGACCATAGGTGTGTGGGTTCATTTCTGGGTCTTCAATTCTATTGCATTGATTTTCTTGCCTGTCTCTGTACCAATACCATGCAGTTTTTATCAGTATTTCTCTGTAGTGCAGTTTGAGGTCGAGGATGATGATTCCCCCAGAAGTGCTTTTATTGTTGAGAATAGCTCTCCATATCCTGGGTTTTTGTTATTCCAAATGAGTTTGCAAATTGCTCTTTCTATCTCTTTGAAGAATTGAGTTGGAATTTTGATGAGGATTGCATTGAATCCATAGATTGCTTTTGGCAAGATGGCCATTGTTACTATATTAATCCTGCCAATCCATGAGCATGGGAGATCTTTCCATCTTTTGAGATCTTCTTCAATTTCTTTCTTCAGAGACTTGAAGTTCTTGTCATACAAATTTTTCACTTGCTTGGTTAGAGTCACACCAAGGTATTTTATATTATTTGTGACTATTGTGAAGGGTGTCATTTCCCTAATTTCTTTCTCAGCCTGTTTATCCTTCGAGTAGAGAAAGGCTACTGATTTGTTTGAGTTGATTTTGTAACCAGACACTTTGCTGAAGTTGTTTATCAGGTTTAGGAGTTCTCTGGTGGAAGTTTTGGGGTCACTTAAGTATACTATCATATCATCTGCAAATAGTGAGATTTTGACTTCTTCCTTTCCTATTTGTATCCCTTTGACTTGCTTTTGTTGTCTAATTGCTCTGGCTAGTACTTCCAGTACTATATTGAATAGGTAGGTTAGAGAGTGGACAGCCTTGTCTAGTCCCTGATTTTAGTGGGATTGCTTCAAGTTTCTCTCCATTTAGTTTGATGTTGGATACTGGCTTGCTGTATATTGCTTTTACTATGTTTAGGTATGGGTCTGAATTCCTGATCTTTCCAAGACTTTTACCATGAAGGGATGTTGAATTTTGTCAAATGCTTTCTCAGCATCTAGTGAGGTGATCATGTGGTTTTTTTCTTCCTTTGAGTTTGTTTATATAGTGGATTACATTGATGGATTTCCGAATATTGAACCATCTCTGCATTCCTGGGATAAAGCCTACTTGATCATGATGGATGATTGTTTTGATGTGGTCTTGGATTCGGTTTGCTAGAATTTTATTGAGTATTTTTTCATCGATATTCATAAGGGAGATTGGTCTGAAGTTTTCTTTCTTTGTTGTGTCTTTCTGTGGTTTAGGTATGAGCATAATTGTAGCTTCATAGAACGAATTGGGTAGTGTTCCTTCTGTTTCTATTTTGTGGACTAGTTTGAAGATAATTGGTATTAGGTCTTCCCTGAATGTCTGATAGAATTCTGCACTAAAACCATCTGACCCTGGGCTTTTTTTGGTTGGGAGACTTTTAATGAATGGTGCTATTTCTTTAGGGGTTATGGGACTGTTTAGATGGTTTATCTGCTCCTGATTTAACTTTGGTACCTGGTATTTGTCTAGAAAATTGTCCATTTCATCCATATTTTCCAGTTTTGTTGAGTATAGGTTTTTGCAGTAGGATCTGATGATTTTTTGAATTTCCTCAGTTTCTGTTGTTATGTCTCCCTGTTCAGTTCTAATTTTATTAATTTGGATACTGTCTCTGTGACCTCTGGTTAGTCTGTGTAAGGGTTTATCTATCTTGTTGATTTTCTCAATGAACCAGCTCCTGGTTTTGTTGATACTTTGTATAGTTCATTTCGTTTCTACTTGGTTGATTCCAGTCCTGAGTTTGGTTATTTCCTGCCTTCTACATCTCTTGGTTGTGTTTGCTTCTTTTTGTTCTAGAGCTTTCAGTTTCTTTTTGTAGGCACTTAGAGCTATGAGTTTTCCTCTTAGCACTGCTTCCATGGAGTCCCATAAGTTTTGGTATAATGTGTCCTCATTTTCATCAAATTCTAAAAAGTCTTTAATTTCTTTCTTTATTTCTTCCTTGACCAAGTCATCATTGAATAGAGCATTGTTCAGTTTCCATGTGTATGTGGGCTTTCCATTGTCTTTGTCATTATTGAAGACCAGCATTAGTCCATGGTGATCTGATAGGATGCAAGGGATTATTTCTATATTTTTGTATCTGTTGAGGCCTGCTTTGTGACCAATTATGTGATCTATTTCTGAGAAGGTTCCATGAGGTGCTGAGAAAAAGGTATATTCTTTTGTTTTAGGATAAAATGTTCTATAGATATCTTTTAAATCCATTTGGTTCATAACTTCTGTTAATTCCACTGTGTCTCTGTTTAGTTTCTGTTTCCATGATCTGTCCATTGCTGAGAGTGGGGTGTTGAAATCTCCCACTGTTATTGTGTGAGGTGCAATGTGTACTTTCATGTTTAGTAAAGTTGCTTTCATGAATGAGGGTGCCATTGCATTTGGAGCATAGATGTTCAGAATTGAGAGTTCATCTTGGTAGATTTTTCCTTTGACGAGTATGAAGTGTCCTTCCTTATTTTTTGATAAGTTTTGGTTGAAAGTCAATTTTATTCCAAATTAGAAAGGCTACTCCAGCTTTTTTCTTGGGACTATTTGCTTGGAAAATTGTTTTCCATCCTTTTATTCTGAGATAGTGTCTGTCTTTGTCACTGAGGTGTGTTTCCTATATGCAGCAAAATTCTGTGTCCTGTTTGCATATCCAGTCTGTTAGTCTATGTCTTTTTATTGGGGAATTGAGTCCATTGATGTTAAGAGATATTAAGGAAAAGTGATTGTTGCTTCCTGTTATTTTTTGTTATTAGAGGTGTGATTATGTTTGTGTAGCTATCTTTTTTGGTTTGTTGGAAGATTACTTTCTTGCTTTTTCTAGGTTGTAGTTTCTCTCCTTGTGTTGGAGTTTTCCATGTATTATCCTTTGTAATGCTGGATTTTTGGGAAGATATTGTGTAAATTTGGTTTTGTCATGGAATAAATTGGTTTCTCCATCTATAGTGACTGAGAGTTTTGCTAGGTATAGTGATCTGGGCTGGCACTTGTGTTCTCTTAGAGTCTGTATGATATCACTCCAGGATCTTCTGGCTTTTATAGTCTCTGGTGAGAAGTCTGGAGTAATTCTTATAGGTCTGCCTTTATATGTTACTTGATCTTTTTCCCTTACTGCTTTTAGTATTTTTTTCTTTGTTTTGTGCATTTGGTGTTTTGATTATTATGTGACGGGAAGAATTTCTTTTCTGGTCTAGTCTATTTGTAGTTCTGTAGGATTCTTGTATGTTCATAGGCATCTCTTTCTTTAGGTTAGGGACGTTTTCCTCTATAATTTTGTTGAAGATATTTATTGGCCCTTTAAGTTGGGAATCTTCATTCTCATCTATACCTATTATCCTTAGGTTTGGTCTTCTCATTATGTCCTAGATTTCCTGAATGTTTTGGGTTAGGAGCTTTTTGCATTTTGCATTTTCTTTGACAACTTTGTCAATATTTTCCATAGTGTCTTCTGCATTTGAGATTCTTTCTTCTATCTCTTGTATTCGGTTGGTGATGCTTGCGTCTATGACTCCTGATCTCTTTCTTAGGCTTTCTATCTCCATGGTTGTCTCCCTTTGAGCTTTCTTTATTGTTTCTATTTTCATTTTCAGATCCTGAATGTTTTTGTTTAATTCCTTCTTTGTGTTTTCTTGCAGTTCTTTAAGGGATTTCTGTGATTCCTCTTTAAGGGCTTCTACCTGTTTACTTGTACTCTCCTGTATTTCTTTAAGGGAGTTGTTTATGTCCTTCTTAAAGTCCTCTATCATCATCATGAGAAGTGATTTTAAATCTGAATCCTGCTTTTCTGGTGTGATGGGGTGTGCAGGACTTGCTGTGTTGGGAGAACTGGGTTCTGATGATATCAGGTAACTTTGGTTTCTGTTGCTTATGTTCTTGTGCTTGCCTTTCACCATCTGGTTAACTCTAGTGCTACCTGCACTCACTGTCTCTGACTGGAGCCTGTCTTTCCAGTTATCTTGCTTGTGTCTGAACTCCTCAGAGTCCAGATGTCTCTGTGATCCTGTGATCCTGTGATCCTGTGATCCTGTGATCCTGTGATCCTGAGCTCCTGGGTGGAAGAACTCCTGGGACTCATGCTTCCTCTGGGATTCTGAAATTCTGCTGCTCTGAGTGCAGTTGTTCCTCTAGAATGGCTTAAGGATCTGGTGTCTTCTGGAGAGCAGACCAGCTAGGTGTCTGTTGTTCTAAGTGCAGTGCCTCCTCTAGGATGGCTCAGGATCTGGTGTCTTCATGGGAACAGACCAGCTAGGTGTCTGCCCCAGCCAAAAGGACCAAGCGAGGGGATGAAGTGGAGTGGTATTCTGGAGTGCCGGGTTTGTGTGGCTGATGAGTCCTGAGTGCCTCAGTCTCCCAAATGTAGGTCTGGGGCAGAGGGTTGTGCAGGAGGGATCTTACCTGCTGCTGCTCTGAGTGAAGTGGCTCAGGATCTGGTGTCTTTATGGGAGCAGACCAGCTAGGTGTCTGCCCCTGCCAAAAGGACCAAGCAAGAGCGTGCCACATTTTCATTATCCATTCTTCAATTGGTAGATGTCCAGGCTCTTTACTGGCTACTATGAATTGAATGACAAATGAATATGGATATACAAATATCCATATAGTGGAATATAGAATCCTTTTAGCACAAGAGTGATATAGATGGGTTATATGGTAAGCTTTTTGAGGAGGGAGGGTGTCTTAGTTAAGGTTTTCTTGCTGTAATAAAATACCATGACCAAAAGCAACAGGGTTTGTTTTAATTTATGACCAAAAGCAACAGGATTTGTTTTAATTTATACTTCCATGTAACAACCAATCACTGATGTAAGTCAGGACAGAAACTCAAGCAGTTCAGGAACTTGGGTGCAAGAACTAAAGCAGAGATCATGGAGGAACACTACTTACTGACTTGATCATTATGTCTTGATCAGCCTGTTTTCTTACACAACTCAAGATCTCCTGTCCATGGGTAGCTCTGTATGACTACCTGGGGCCTCCCATATTAATCATTAATTTTAAAAAGTGCCCAGCAGACTTGCCACAGGTCATATGATGGAGACATTTTTTTTCCAACTGAGGTTTATCTTCACAAATAACTCTAGTTTGTGTTAACAAAGCAATAGCAACAGCAAATTAAACATAGGACACATGTATCCTATCTGGGTCTCCAGGCTATGTGGGCAGCTGGAGAGTTCCTGTGGAGAAAGCAAGCTGGGATCTGGTGAATCCCAAGGGGGAAGCTTTTACATTTCATGCAGATTCCAGAATCTTCACTATGTAGAGTTTCTTTGCTACAGGTACCAAGGAACAGAGTTTAAGAATAGACTAGGAATTTGAATGCAATTAAAAGCTCCTTCTCAGTATTCTGTTCCTTTTCTTAAGGATTCAAACCTGATAGGATCCTTCTAGCAGAGAATGGGTTAAGCCTTAGCCCAGCCACTCTAGCTATTCCAGTTTTCCTGTGCCTGCTTCCTATGACCCAAAAGGAAGCAATCTTTTCAGCTCTGTTTAGTGCTAATGCTACTGTCACTCTCAGCAGATAAACTTCCAGAAAATCCTCTGCAAAATATTTAGGACTTTTCACTAAATCATGAAAGATTTAATTTTTTTGTTCTTAAGAGCTAAAGTTATTTTAGAGAAGAGTTAAATTTTCATTTCTTTAGTTGAACATTTTCTAGTAATAAAAGCCATGCAAATAGCACTCTTCACTTGCTTCTTTCTGAGCTTTTTAAATTTCTGCTCTAGCGCCACCAGAAGATACTACCTTGGTGCAGTGGAATTGTCCTGGAACTATATGCAGAGTGATCTGCTCAGTGTGCTGCATACGGACTCAAGGTAAAAATCCTGTCAAGTTGTCAAGTGCAACATTGTAAAGATAGGACTTTTACTGTGTTTATTTGTATCACCCAGCTCTTAAACATATATTAAAAATGATGAATTAAGGTTTTTCTTTTGACCTGGAGAGAATTCTCCTAGATGTTACTTAGTGAAAAGGCATATAAATTGTGTATGATATCCCATTTTGATAATAATAACTAAGCAAAACTCTGTGTGTGTGTTTGTGTGTGTGAAAAAGGTGGTGGGGAAGAACATTCTAAACAATTAGACTACTTAGACTAAGGGGTCCAGTCAGTAATCTTTAACTTTTAATATGTTTTTATTACACGCATTATTTCGACACAAAAGTACACATCTACACAAAAGTATAAAATAAACACATTCATCTCATTACTGTTTGGCATGAGGAAGGTATCTATCCTATATTGTTATGTACTGTGTTCATTCACTCACTAATTCACTCATTTTGGGATGGACTTCAGGGTCTCCTATTTTATTTATGAGTGCTTTATCATCGAGATACAATTCCAAACACATTGCTGTTATTTTGGTGAATAGATTCTCTGGTGGTATCTTGCTGGAACAAAGGAAATAGTTCTATTTTAGTTTTTTGTCTTGTTTTGTTTTTATATCTCCGACTGGCCTGGGAGTCACTATGAAGCCCAGAATGGCCTAGAACTCAAAAAGCTCCACATGCCTCTGCTTCCTAAATTTGGGATTAAAAGGTGTGAGCCATCGCAATAAGCTGTTTTAGTTTAAATTTTTAGAAAGTTCAAGACTCTTCATACATTTTGATCTTCAGACCATGGGATTATACTTACCTCTGCATTTGCATCAGGAATAAGTCTTACATTATTGCTTAATTTTTGCCAGTCCTATAAGCATATATTAATATTGTATCTTTAATTGTAGCATTTTATTTCTAATGAAATTCATGATCTTTTTAAATGCATGTTGGCTATCAGAGTTGATTTTTCAGATTTTACTTTTTATATGTTTCACCCATATTTCTATGAAGTCTTCCTTTTTTTTAAACTGTGAAAACACTTTTACTACATGTATTCATTATCCTTTATTTATATTATAATTTCTCCTAAGACTATCTATCTCTTGCCTTACTTTATAACTTACTTATGAAAACACTTAATTTTTATAGTCAAATATAATTTTTCATATCTTTAGATTTGACAGTGTTGGTTAAAAATGTCTTTCACACCTCAAGGTTATATATGTGTCCTTCTAGATTTTGTTAAAAGAATTTTACAGTTTTTACTCCAGTTTATCTTGACATTTATTTTGCATGGCATGAGAGAGTGATCTATTTAGCTTTATTTCCATCTGTGTGCCTATCATAATGGCACTACCACATTTAGCTCTCTAGCTTTATTTTTATTATTATTATTATTGCGTTTTGGTATTAAAGTTTGGTTTAATTACCATATAAATTGGTGAGTATTCCATCTTTTTATATAGAATTATTTGTTATTTAAATTAGGTAGGACTCACTTATGATTCCATTTGTTCTCAGTGAGATTTAGGATAGTGTTAATAACATTTCCAGTGGAAAGCTCTTTTAGTTTTAACAGTTGCTTTGCTACAGTGTTTTACTTTGTCATGAGTTCTTTACATTGTCTGTAGTTACATGCCCTTAAATTCCTGTATCTTTGCTACTTATTTATCAATAAGCTTACCAAAATTTTTCCTGTTTTGTTGGTGGTAGTTCTTTGAAAGAATGAATTTAGAGGTTTTATTTTGAGAGAGGATTGCATGTAGCCCGTATTAGCTTTCAACTTATTATGTAGATGATAAAGATAACTTTGAACTTCTGATCCTCATGTCTCTACCTCCTGAATTCTGAACTAGCAGGTGTGCACCACATTTGACATTTATGAGTTGTTTTTAAATGTTTCACTAATTTTATGTTTAATACATATTATCTCTTGTTAGTTTCTTTTTGTTTATCTTACTATATTTTCCATTACCTATTAAAAGTAATGTGTTCTTTCCTTTTTTCATCTTTGTCTAATTTTTTTAATTTGAGGATTTTATGCATTAGTAAATTATATTTGCATCATTTTACCCCCTTATTAGCCCTTCCAACTTTCTCATGTCCCCCCAAATATTCTCTCTCAAATTTATGTGTCCATGAGTACAGAATGTCTGTTCTGCCCAGAAGACACTATCACAAAGCAGTCATTCTGGTCCTCAGGCTCTTATAATCTTTCTGCCTACTTTTCCATTATGTTTCCTAAGTCCTAGATATAGAGACTTTGTTACAGATGTCCCATTTGGGACTGTGTCACCATGGTCACCTATTCTCTACATTTTAGTTGTGGCTCTCTCTAATAGACTTTGTGTATTGCACAAAGAAACTTGAGATAGCAGAGCTGTACTTACTTGTGGTATAGAATGGGTATTTAGAAGGCAGATGGAAACTATATTACTTTAGTGATAAGGTAGTAGTAGATCCTCCTATAGGGTCTATTATCTCTTCAGCCACAGGTTCTTGGCAAGGTGATGAGTTCCCTCCAACTGAACAGGTTTTAGATCCAATTAGACAATTGTTAGTTACTTCCCAGACACAAGTACTACTATTACACTATTGAGGCATCTTGCTGGTCTCATCATTGTTGTGGTTCTTGGGCTTACATCTGGGTAGAGCTGATAACTTTTCCCTCTTGGTAGCTTTCATAGTACCTTCTGACACTATGAATGCTAACCCACAGGGAGGGGGTTTCCAGGTTAGTACTAGCTGAATTCTTCCCAACTTCTATGACCAAAGCATGTGGTATCTTCAATAATAGGATGGTATCTTCATAATTTGGCATGTAGCCAAGAGCAATGACACTAGCCTATATTGTTTTGGGGAGTCTCTTGGAGACTTCCCAACTAACAACTAGAAAGCATCCCCTCCGGTTTTCCTTTCCCACTGTGTCCTGCTATCCCTATTTCTAGAGCTCTTTCTTTCCCATTCCCCCATGGTCTCTTTATTTCTGGCTTCTTCTGTTACTCTAAGTTACAGAATCAAACCTAAAGATTCAGAGCTAAGATCCACAAATAAGAAAGAACATGTGGCATTTCTCTTTTGGTGTTTCAGCTTGATCCATTTACTTGTGACTTTCATGGTTTTGGTTTTCTTTACAGTTAAATAGAATTCCATTGTGTATATTGAAGGACTCTGGCCAGCCCTAGCATGGCATGACTCTGGCAGGCCTTGCCCTTCTCTCTCATTTTCTCTGACTTGCTAGAAACCATTAGCTTACATTCCTAAAGCTAGTCACCAAGGTCTATTTCCTTATTTGGCCACTTCTTCCTCCTGAAGCTGACTACCAAGGTCCAGCCTTCAAAATATTAAAGTCCATCGACTAAAAGCCCCCTTTGGCTCACCTAATTAACATGCCCAATTAAAATGAAACACCTCATCCTAACACAGAGTTTCCCTTTTTACCTTTGTTGTAGTTTTTGGTTTTTGTTTTGTTTTTTTGAGACAGAGTTTCTCTGTGTAGCCCTAGCTGTCCTGGAACTCACTCTGTAGACCAGGCTAGCCTCGAACTCAGAAATCCGCCTGCCTCTGCCTCCCAAGTGCTGGGATTAAAGGCGTGTGCCACCACTGCCTGGCTCTTTTTTACCTTTATAAACTGCCATTTGCCTATGTGCCACATGTGTCTCCTCTATGTCCAGTGGCAGGCCTTTGCCAACCCCCCCCTTCCAGGACAAATAGCTCTTAACTCTCCTCCATGTTCCCTTCCCCTTCTACCTCCTCCTATATCTCCTGTATTTGTTTCTCATTCCCTGTCCTCTGTTACTCTGGGGAAAATAAAGATCCTTTGTTCTGAGAACTTGGTCTTGGGGGGTCCTGAGCACTCCTCTATGGGTTCTGCCCCAGCTCCTGCTCCAATTTGAGTTCCTGTCCTAACTTCATTCAATAATGAATGATGTTGTGGAAATGTAAGCCAAATAAATTTCTTCCTCCCCAAGTTATTTTTGGTCATGGTGTTTCATCATATTAATAGTAACCCTAACTAAGATAAATTGGTACCAGGATTGTGGGGTATTGCTGTGACAGACTTGACTGTTGTTCTGGGTAGGATCATGGAAGAACTTTGGAACTTTGAGCTGGAAAAGTCACTGAATGTTCAGACCTTGGTGAGCTGTTCTCTGGGAGTGTGAAAGTTAAGTATGTTAAGAGAAATGCAGCAGATGGAGGCCTGAATTATAAAGATCTAGAGGAAAGTTTAAGAGTTATTTAAAGACTCTATCAGGCTGTTACACATTTTGAGTTAAGAATCTCTTCTGGTCAGCTAGGGATGAAGAAACCAGCACTATTAAAGTGAAACCTTTGTGTTGCTGAGAAATTGGTGCTGGTTAGCTGGAGATGAGAAATTAGTGGTGATTAGGAAGAGACCAGCATCATTAAGGTGAAATCATGTGGGAAGTATTTCCCCAGAGTCAGCACATAGAAGCTGTGCTCCACAGACAGCGAAGGTTGTACCTCATACAGGCAGCTGAACTTGGTAGTGTGAGAGTTTCCCAGGTAGTACTGGTTTTGAAGACATAAAGGGTTCAGTAGCAGTTGGAAGCACAGGATTAAAGGGATCATGCAGAGAAGTTGAGGCTTGGCACCCTGAAGAGAGCCCCAAAGAAGCTATTGATGGAAGTACATGTATATTTGTGCACCATGTGTGCTGCTGGTACACATATGTATGTATGTATGTATGTATGTATGTATGTATGTATGTATGTATGTATTATAATGGCAATCTAGTGGCCTGGCGCAATGAATAATACTTTTAGTATAAAATTGAATTGAGGAGGGTTGGAAATGATGCAAACACTTGCTTTACAAACATGAAGAACTGAGTTCATATCACCAGCAACCACATAAAAGATTCTAGCACAGGGGAAGCAGAGACAGACAGATCCCTGAAGCTTTACCATATAGTCATCCTATCTGGATCAGTGAGCTCCAGGTTTAGTTAAAAAAAAAAATAAGGTCG